GTAACATAAGTCACCTCTCCCTTGGGGCCAAGTTCTCGCCGATGTAAAGATCGACAGTGGGTAGATCAGGCCCAGTGTGGAGTTGCATAGCAAGTCGCCAAATCGATACTCGCTCCTAGAACTCGTCTTTAGCCTCACTTATACTGTGTTTCTGTCCTGCTTTAAAGCGCTTCCTTTTCCGACTTGTTGCCACGCTATGATCTAGGTACGAAACATGAACTTTATTTTCAGTTGGGCGTTCGGTCGCTGATGATATTAGACATAGTCCTAGCTCGGCAATGTGACAAGTCCGCAAACCACTAACCTGGAATTGTTGAGCGTGGCTTTCCTGCAAGGGGGCTAACTGATGGATGGCATTTGCCGACAGCTGACAGGTGATGCAGAATTTGCCATTTTGAGCGAGGGTACCTTCGATCGCGACACCCTACTTGGCTCGATCGGCGGGTGGCTGTACTAATTGCCATGGCTGCCAATAATACGCTGCAGCAGAGGTTCTGCAACCATCATTGATGACATCAATCAGCACCTTTGCGATCGCGATGTAGATTCACGTACCACTGACACTCCTGACACTCGCGAAACGACATTTCTTTTAGCTTGGGGTTGCCCACTGTATTGAAGGCAGATCATACTCTCCTGCTACACTAGACAATTGCCCTGTCATAGCCGACTTCTACTCACGATGGCGGCATCGGAGACTGGTGATCTTGGATATTACCATGACAACCTGCGGCATGTCGTGATTACTGCCACTTGCTTTGCGTTGATCCTTTCTACGGTGTCGGTTGCCCTGCGTCTGTACTGTCGCAAGATCACGGGCACCAAGGTCTTCTTTGATGATTACCTGATCATCGTGGCATTGGTAGGTCATAATTCCTAGGTATTCTCAAACCCCGAGCAAGTATTGCTGACACTGGATGCTGGCGGCAGGTTTTTGAATATGCAGTGTCACTGGCTGGAGTTGTCTGTGCGTAACCTCTCAGTTTGGCTGACTACTGCACCGGAACCCCTTTGACTGATGAACGGCAGTGCTGTATAACGGACTGGGCACTCACATTATCTACGTTCCTCCTTCAGATTTGGTAGTGTATTTAAAGATTGATGATATCACTCTGCTTACCCCCCGTGCTACTGAGCTGACAGTGCATCCAGACTCTAGCCAGTGGCAGCTTCCTATACACACTATGCATCGCATTCACGAAGCTCTCTATCCTCGCATTATACAAGCGAATCTTTTCCATCCGACCGATGATACTAGCAGCTAACTCCGTCGGGGCAATTGTCATCCTGTGGTGTTTCGGGGTATGTCTGATTGGGGGCGTCGTATGTATTCCACTGGAGAAGCTCTGGAACCCGACGATGCCCGGCGGATGCATCGACCTGGCCAAGTTTTACTATGGGCTACAGATTCCGAACATCGTGACTGACGCCGTCATCCTCGCGCTACCGATGAAACACGTCTGGAACCTTCAGGTGCCGCGTACACAAAAGATTATGTTAACAGGCATCTTCTGCCTTGGTGCTTTGTGAGAATTCTTACTCCCGGCTGTTCGGATTACTGTTGCTGACATGGATATGCCCTACTTAGAACGCTTGCCTTTGACATTGTACGGCTGGTGACACTAATTGAGCTTTCAAAAGCCGGCAGCGATATTACATGTAAGAATTAAATAGGTCTAACTGAGTTGGATGTACTCTACTGACGGGAGATGCACCATGACAGATGACCAAGTACCCGCCAGTGTGTGGACCTGCATTGAGCCCGCCGTGGGTATAACGGCCTCTTGCCTGTCGAATATGCGACCACTGTTCCTTTCCTTGTCACGGTTGCGCGACAAGATGCCTCGTCTGTTATCCCGACCGTCACAGACTGAAGCGGTGGAGGTAGAGGGCTCGAAAATCGTATTCACTCAAACTGTGCGAGTCAACAGTAGTCACGCTGACGAGTCGGACACGGCGTGTCGCAAGGACCCTTTTGCTGGAACGCCATCGCCTCTATCAATAGGGGCTAATGTATCGACAGATTGACGAACTGCTGTGACACACGGAGTGATTCAATCGCTGATAAAATTGTGATTTTTCCGCATAAGGGACCAGGCGGAGGGGAAGATGATGTTTGAGGCCCTTATACACCTCGATTACCTGATTCTGCATCTCGTATGAATTAGAATATATTGATAATCTTCAGTCACACTAGCCAGATAGCCATTCATCTGCTCCTCGGAGCAGGCGTCAGTACACTAGGGAATAAGAGCACAGCTTGTGGGGAACAGCTTATCTTGCATTTCCAGCCGACCCACTGGCGGCGATAACAGACCAACCGCGGCGAGAGAAGTGCCGGTCACCAGGATGGCCCTTGCGGGGGTTGTCTATCGCTGCTTATCGCGTGCGGAGAAGCATCGGAGCAGCTGTTAGCGTATATGTCCAGATTGTATCCCGTCTCTGGTGCTTTGACACCTTCGCCTTATCCCAATTCTCTTCATAGTGTGTGTTCACTGAGAAATACCTAGCTAGTCATGGCAGAAGGCCGTCGGTCTGCCCGCGCGTAAGTCAATCACTCGACACTTCTTGTTCCAGATATTCAGCTCACTGACACTACTTGTAGATGCGACGAATGTCGCCGCTTGAAGGAAAAATGCGAAGGAGGAATCCCCTGCCGACGATGCGCCCATTTCCGCCGTCCCTGTGAATCCAAAGCCCTCGCATCGCGCGCCCGAGATTTTCGCGTTTACGTTCCCAGGCGAGTTTATCTCTGCCACCTAGGCACAACGGTACGCTAACTAGTTACTGCAGAACACGGCCAGCCAAGTCCGAGGTACAGGAGCTGCTGGACCGATGCAGGTACATGGAGCAAATCTTGAAGCATACAATTGAGGGCATCGAGCTCGACACCAAGAGCCTTTCCCGTCTGGCCAACTCCTTTACTACCGGGAAAGGTTCAGATCATACAGGAGTGACTAGTCCGGCTGGACTTGCTCTGGAGGAAGAGGATTGTACGATCGATCCGGTTGGTGATACCACCACGCGTGCGTCTTGCTCTTGCCGTACTTATTAGTGGATCATAACTAAGCTTGATAGACTTCTCTGGAGAATTCTCCTATTGGAATTTTTCCATGCGCATCAAACAACGCATCCAAAGTCGCATGCGGACCAAGAGCCCCGACCGTGTTTCGGGGTACTGGCGGGCCCAACATCTCCAGACCAACGAGCATTTATCAGCAGCGCTGGCATGCTTTCCCCCTCGTCCGATTACTGGCTTCCTGGTCAAGACCTTTCTCAAATATGCTGCCACACATTGGTTTCTGGTAGATGAAGATTGGCTGTTGGACCGTGTGCACCGGTTATACACCGACCCTGCCAGTCTTGGAGATACGGCTGCCGCGGTGGCAAGCATCCTGCTGTCTGTGCTCGCAATCGGAACTCAATATGCACATTTGGAGTCCCCTAGTGACCGAGATCCCAAGAATCAGACCTCCTCCTTTTCCGAAGAAGATGTCGGGGTGCGATTCTACGAACAGTCAATCAGACTACTACCGGAAATAATCGAGCTGTCCTGCTTGGAGAGCGTACAAGCATGTCTACTGCTTGGATTCTATGCTCTTCCAGTGGATGCCTCTGGACTTGGCTACATCTACGTGAACCTGGCGGTGCGTCTGGCTATGCAAAACGGCATGCATCGGAAATGCCGCCGGGATGCGTTCAGCCCGGTCATGATGGAGACGCGGAACCGGGTCTGGTGGACTGCATATTCCCTGGAGAGGTCTGTGATGACCACTACTGTTGTTAAATCTGGCTAATATATCGTAGGTTAATCTCGATCTTCCACGGACGCCCCTTGTCTGTGCATCGCGGGGATGTGGATGCAGACCTCCCCAAGGCTCGCGCAGACATGGGCCAGACACAGTCCGCCTGGAGCCCGCAATGTGCAGTCATCTCAATTCAGATGCTAGACTGGCTGGAGGAATTTCTCCATGACATGTGCGACATTCAACCACCTGTGTGATAGTTTTCATCCTGATAAGTGTACAGATCTCGTCTCAGGCACGCCCAACCAGCAGGACTGCCCGTCGTCATAGGCCAGCTAATAGCCCGCAAAGAGTCCTGGAATCGCTGGTGGGCAGGCATCTCTGACACGCTCGTCAACCCAATCCAAATGGGAGACCAACCGAATCGCGCCGTTATGCACCTGTGTTTGGAATCATGTCTCCTGCGCATGTTCATCGGTCGCCCATTCCTTCTCCGCAAGGAGTCCCCTACTCATCATAATGCAAATCCCCAAGAGTCTTCCGAGGAATCGTACTTCCAGCCTTCCGACCGCGACAGTCTCATCGGCGATTGCATCCAAGCGGCTCAGGAGGCATTGGAGATCTGTCGCCAGCTGCGCGATCACGGACCGGGACTGGCACGAGCGTCCTACCTGGAATACAGCGCATGTAGGGCTGCTCTACTGGTACTCATCGCATTCTCCGTGCAGAATCTGTCAGACGCCTTGCGCCAGCCCATGCGGGAGGGACTCGCGTTGCTCCGGGAGATGTCCGCAGCAGGTGATTCTGCACGATCGGAAGTATCCCTACTTGAAGCATTGGAGAGATCCCTCGCGCGTCTGCACACAGTGGCCCAGCGACCAGAGCCCGCTTCGGAATCTACGGGCCTGGTGTCTGACTACGAGGCCTTCCGCAACTGGGGGGCGACGTGCAAAAAACCTGCATCCGACGCGGCCCCACTGCACCCTGACACAGTCGAGCCGTGGACGGTTCCGCTGGATGGAATGGAGCAGCTACCCCCCTTCGATCCAACCCTGGATCTCTCCATCTTCGGCGGTGCCAATCTATCGCCGTCCGCAACGTGGCCCACCCGCACAGAGACCCAAGTGCTAGAAGAGTTCCTGGCCGGTTCGAGTTTAGATCCGATCTGGACGCATGTTGATCTTCCATAGCCTGGCCTACACTACACTACACTACGATAATCATGTAACATACTCATTCCAAACCATCAATTAATTATTTCGAAGCAGCAATAATCTTCTCCGCCATCTCAGGCAACGACTCCGACACCACATCCAACGGCGCATCAAACACCTTATAAGCCCCCTCCTTCTCATAAACCGTACAATAAGCACCGCGGAACCCGACTTTCGTAGCAGCAGTGACATCCCACAAATGCGCCGCGGCAAACCACTTCTCCCCACCCTCATTACCCAACCTCTCCCACGCGGGCCGATACGCCGCCAACGCCGGCTTCGCCACGCCCGCCGTATCACAGCTGAGGAAATTCTCCAACGGCATATCTACGCCCGCTCGCTCAAAGTATCCGCGCACCCGCTGCGTATCACCCGTTGTCAAACACCAAACCGTGAACCCGGCGTCGCGGAGCTTGGCGAAGCATTCGCGCGCGCCGGGACGGAGCTCGAGGGCGGCGTATCCGGCTACGCAGGCGTCGCGTTGTTCGGGGGTGGCGAAGCTGTGGGGGTCGGAGATGCCGATCATGGCGAGGGTTTGGTAGAAGAGTTCGGTGATGACAATTTTGTAGGGCTTGTAGCTTTCGGAGATGGAGAGGAAGGTGAATTGCAGCTCGGCGTTGGTCATCCATGTAAAACCCAGGGTTTGGGCGGTGATGTTGTGCGCCTTGAGTTGGGGGCCGAGCGTGCGCTCGATGGTGGCGTAGAAGGCATCGAAGGACACGCAGGTGCCGACGACGTCGAAGACGACGTGGTTGGGCATGTTGTGTTGTGTGTGCGAGAAGTAATTGAGGAATGGGGGGGAGGGAGAAAGGGTTTGTGTGGTATCGCGGTTATTGAGGGGTAGACGCGTTATCGCGGGGAACTGCGTGGCATCAAATAGTGCTAGTAGTTGTGATGTGGTGGGTATCCGCCGATACCGGGCGAGGGGCACCAGCTTCGCCCATTTCAGTAGGCCGGGCCGGTCGCATTTGTACATACAGCTGACATGCGCTAGACGGGGACTAGATTAGGTCTAAGCGCAGGTTAATTCAGGGGAAATTGGCGATATGCGACCAGGCGCTGATACTTGATAACGTGTTGATAAGGCGTGTTGATAGCCGGCGTAGTTATCGTGCTGACACCACATTTTGATAGCCAACTTGAATCGAGAATACACCGAACTACCTGTTGTATGTCGGAACTACATTTCATTGCTTAGTTTACGCTGACTAGCATACAATGGGACTTTATTATGTAGTATGATGCTCAATGGCTGTTTGCTAGAACGCAATGTGGGATCCAGTACCTTGTATACTGGGCGGAAGTCTCCTAGCAGTGAATATATATATGTTGAAAATTGACAAGGGTAGAGAATGACTGCTGGCTAATACACACTGCTATGTAACATTATAGAAACACCTATATATACATTACTCCCACAAAATATTCAAGCGCCGTAACCCCCGTTTCGGCTTGGGCTCCGGCTCCGGGTTCTTCTGGTAATGCTCGATGAATGGCCGCACAGGCACATCCTCCAGCGGAATGATCTTCGACTTCATCCACCACTTGTACCCAAAATACAGCACAAAAATAATGGGGACGTTCAAGTACGACGAGATAAAAGTCTCCGTATCCCATTGACCGTGAATGAAAGTCTCGTACCCGCCCGTCAGAAACAGCAGGCAAAACAGCACCAACGTGATCCATGTACTCCATGGCTGGAAGGGCGCCGCCCACGGCAATTCCTTGTGACGATCAATCCCTTGCTTCTTGCATGCGTAGTAGAACCGGAGGTACACGATACAAATGATGCCCCAGTTGACTAATGTCGAGATAGACACGATGTCCTGCAGCCAAGTGAAAACCGTGCTGGCCGAGCTGGACAACGTCATATATCCCAGCGCCATGAATACTCCCAATAGTGTCACCGCCACATACGGAATGCCGAACCGGTTCATGCGCATGAAGACTTTCGGTGCATGACCCTCTGCTGCCATGGCATAGATCACGCGCGATCCTCCCAGCATGTTCGAGTTTCCAGATGACCAAGCCGATGTCAGCACCACCGCGTTGATTATCGAAGGCACCACTTTGATACCGGCATTGCGCGCCGCAATGACAAAGGGAGATTCCGAGGCTGTGCCTGAGGAGCCGAGTAGGTTAGGGTCGTCGGAGGGAACCACCAACCCGATCATGAAGATGGTCAACACGTAGAAGAGTATGATTCGGACGAAGATGCGACGAGCGGCCATGGGGATGGATCGACGTGGGTTTCGTGTTTCGGATGCTGCAACTGTGATGTTTTCGATACCGGAATAGGAGTAGAGCGCACTATTCAGGGCTGTCCAGAATCCGAGGAACCGTCCCAAGGAGCCGCCGATGCCCAGATATTGTACGAATGGACCCGGGTCGCGCCAGTAGCGGAAGCCGATACTGACATGGTTTGGACCACCGCCACACGTAATGACGAGGGCCATTATATTGATGCCAATCACAAGCATAATCTTAAGGATGGAGAAGCCGAATTCAAGCTCACCATATACACGCACAAACACCAGGGCCGTGATCAACATCAACAGCCCGAAAACAGTAATCCAGATCGCATTGTTAATGGTCGTCCAGAATTCAATCACCACGGCGGCGGCGACAATTTCCGACGGGATCGAAACGAGGTAGGAATATATCTGATTCCATCCGTTGGCGAAGGCTAGGGCGGGGTCGACGAAGATCTCTGCGTAGCGAATCACGCCGCCGGCCAACGGCACCAAGGCACCCATCTCTCCCACCGCAAACACCACACTGGACACTAACAGCCCCATGATGCTGTACGCCAGGAACCCTCCCAACGGTCCTGCATGAGCAATGGCGCGACCTGAACTCAAAAACAGCCCTGTGCCAATTGTCCCGGCCAGGGCGATCATCTGAATATGTCGTTGGTGCAGGCCCTGCTGAAAGACTTGGGCCTCGTCGAGGTGGCCGGGTACGGCCTCAAGGTCCCCATTCTCTTCATCGGTCTGGTAGGGGGTCTTTTTCTCTGAACTGAAGGAACCGTCCATGATGCGGCCGGGATGTGTATGAAATAACTACCCTGGGCCAGAATTATGAATGCGATCTGGGAATTGGCATTGGGCGACTTTGTATATGTCTGATGCCCAACTCCCCGCATTGCAAATCGCCATCATCTCGTTGGTCCAGCGCAGGGATGATCCATCGTGAAGCCCTGCTCCTCACCGTGTCGCTGTCCCTCCAGTGCATTCCTCCCTACCGGCCCCAACTGCCCAAAGGGGATAGTCCCGGCGCGACCGATAAGATTAGCGCTAGGCCGTGATAGGAAAGTCCGGTCCGGTGTGGAATCAGATACGATGCGATAGCATCAGATAAGACTCCCTTATCATCCGCCCAGAAAACACGGTCGCGTTCCAGTTTTTCATTTCTCAACCGCTGCTCTCATCGTTTTTGCGACTGTACACACCTTCATCATGGCTGCAGCTGGCTGTTTCCCAGCCCCAAACCCTGGCGAATGTTTCTGGCAGAATGAGCCGCATCAATTGCATGATCACCGCTCAACTGAGCAGCTCCCCGATCACGCGGACATCGTGATCATCGGCGCCGGCTACGCCGGAGCTAGCACTGCATACCATCTGCTGCGTGACCACGGCGAAAAGGTCAAGTCCATTACCATCTTGGAGGCCCGGGGAGCTTGCTCCGGTGCGACGGGTCGCAATGGCGGACATCTCCGTCCGGACTTTTACGGCCACATTCCAACATACGTCGACCGCGCAGGTGTTCGCGCTGGCGCAGAAATTGCCGAGTTCGAAATTGCCAATCTGCATGCCTTGAAGAAGGTCGTTGAGGATGAGAAGATTGACTGCGACTTTACGCTTGCGCGATCCATCGATGTCTGGTGCAACGAGGAGGCGGCGCAAAAGGCAAAGGGCACATATGAGCTTATGAAGTCCCTGGATCTCGAGTATATGAATGATGTGGTGTTTTACACTGGAAAGAACGTGGAGGGAGTGAGTACTGATCAGTCCCCAAATGCAGTCGAGGATGCTGACCAAACAGATCTGTGGTGTCAAAGGTGCCAAAGCCTGCGCCTCCTTCACGGCGGGCACCATGTGGCCGTACAAATTCATCCTACACATTCTCCAATCCGTCCTCGCTACGGGCAAGGTCAATCTGCAAACATTTACCCCTGCTACATCGATAACCCCCGGCCCGGAGGGCGGCTATACCATTGAAACGTCCCGCGGAAAGATGCACGCAGGAACGGTTGTGCACGCCAGTAATGCTTACGTGGCCGGTCTGCTTCCCGAGTACGAGAAGAATATTGTGCCCTGCAAGGGTATCTGTTGTCGCATTACTGTGCCAGAGGGGAAAACCGCACCACTCTTGAACAACTCCTATATCAACCGCACCGAAGATAACACCCTTTCCTACTTGATCCCTCGTCCCGATGGCAGCATCGTTGTCGGTGGAGCAGCCGCCAAGTTCCGCTCACACAAGGAGCAATGGTACAACAACGTCGATGATACCGTCCTCATTGACTCAGCCAAAGACTATTATAATGATTACATGCAACGGACGTACCGTGGATGGGAGGATAGCGGAGCGAAGGTCGATCAAATATGGGCGGGTGTCATGGGATACTCGTATGACTCGAACCCGCACATTGGAGCTGTGCCCGGCAAGGACGATCAGTTCATCCTGGCGGGATTGAATGGCCACGGCATGCCGGTAATTTGGCGATCGGCGCAGGAGCTTGCGCGCATGGTAGTGGAGAAGATCCCCTTCGAAGAGACGGCTATGCCTCGACTGTTCAAGACGACGCAGTTCCGGATCGACCGCGCCCTGAACGGACAGGAGAGCGATGGAGATATTCTGGGCACCGGCAACTTTCCTTCCACAAAGCCATGAGCAATTATCTTAGTATTCTTGACTGTAAATATTTGCGTACATAGATTATCCACCCAACCTTGTATCATACTGCAACTGGGAAGTTCATTGAGTTCATGATTTTCTCTGTAAGACGAACGTGAGAAGCTAGATCACACCCAGACGGATAGTTATCTTCTCTTAGTTGACCTGACGCACGCGCTTCTGACCGAGCCGGAATCCAGTGTCTCCCCACACGAGTTCCACTTCGGGTATTTGCTCACCCGAGGACGCAGGACTGCGATCATACTTTCGTCCCTCGCGAATCCTGATCCAATTCGTCATGGGCGTGGAATCATCACCACCCTCATCAGTTGTCTGGGCATCGTCCGCGTCGTGTCTTGCCGTAATGAGCATCCTAAGCATCTGCCGAAGCAGCTCGGCGTCTACTACTTCCGTACTTGTGTCGGAAGGAAACGTGAGCGACATCGGTACTGTACCGGAAGCGAGATTACTATCTCGCTTATTGACGAGGATAATGCTAGCCTCGAGCATGGCCAGATCTGGCCACCACAAGTCGAACTGGTACATCTCTCTGAGACTATCGACAACCGTCTCTCGCCAGCCTACCGAGGGTAGACGGGAAAGCTGATAAACAATTTCCCAGCGTTCTCTATTTGGCTGAGTTTCCGGGGTGAACCCGATCCAGTACATCTGGGTGATATCCCAGACATCAGGATGATCCGGACTCACTTCGAAATGAGAGGATGGCATTATCTCACAAGCTCGCTTTGCACCACGGGCGCGCAAAAGCCGCATAACTTCTGGTAGTCCGGTGTAAGCCTCGGCAGCGCGCGTCGGTGGTCCTTGACGCGGGTCGTACACCGTCTGGGCCGCGAGCGCACGAACTCGTGGGGCCCCTGGACTGTACGCGGCCAGAAGGTCGAGATGCATGTGTCGGCTTCGCTCTGCTGACGAAATAGCGCTGTCCAGAACGGTAGTAGGGTCTCTCGGGCTTATCAGACTATTGATGGCCTCCTCGAGACCGACATCAAGCAGGAGAGTGGTGGTTTTCACTCTTCCCGCCATGGCCGCCGTGCTGAGGGTGAGGATGGCACCCTTGTACGGAAGATAGTGCTTCTTGTATGCCTGTGCGATGTTACACCCTTCAAGGCTCGCCAGATGTGACAGTAAGTGATGAATAGTATCGTGAGTCTGCTGGTCACTCAAAGTCTTGTTGTTAGCCAAAAGGCAAAGGACATCCTTGTCCTCTCTGGTACGGGCTCCGAGATCAGCTCCATGGGCGATTAGATAAAACAAACGTTGTTCAGGATCCTGGGTGACTTGGTTCGTGTCCGCGGCTATCAGCAGAGGAGTAAGGCCTTGTCGATCGCCCAGATTCACGTCGGGTGGGGAATCGTGGGCAAAAAGAATATCACAAGCGGACCGGAATTCTTTCTCGGTGTGATAAATTGTCACGAAGAGGTGAAGAGGCGTCTCTTCGATGAAGTCATTGCGGATGTCTAAGGACGCCATTCCTGATACTATCTTCTGCAAGACGTAGAGGTATGAGTCGGGATATGCTAGCCGTGGGCCTGTGATTCTGGCCCATTGATGGAGTACTTGAGCGAAACAGAATTAGTCCAGGTAGGGTGCTGCATATTGCACAGAACATTACTCACCAGTATCCTTCGAAGTTCCTCGAGGACCTTCAACATCCGCACCGGCATTTATCAAAGCGCATAAAGCACCCCCATTCCAGACTCCATCTTCTGCCGCTCTCACGACAGCCGTAGTTCGAGGGTATACCTCGTCCCGGTCTTCGAGACTAGCGCCCGCCAGAGTAAGTACGGCGACAAGATCTGTCATCTGATGGAGATGACTATCCCAACTTCCGTGTCGTATCCAGTAATGCCATGGCTGCCGTAGAGGACCATGATGCTCTGGTTGATGGAAGGTCATCAGGTGAAGCATGTTTCTTCCACGCGCATCCTTTGCTCCGCCGTTCGCTCCTTTAGATAGAAGGAATCGTACTACTTCGATGTCTCCGTACCAGCTGGCAAGACCTAGGGCAGTGGTCGCATTGTCTGAGTCATGATACTTGGCATTGACATCAGCACCGAGGTCTAACAGGACCTCCATTGCTGGCATGTTACGAGCGAATGCTGCCCAATGGAACGGTGTCCCCATGGGTAGCTCGAAAGGGCTTGTACGTCTTGGTCAGTATCCGCGGCATGTCAAGGTTATACAGTAACCAATGAGGACTTACTAATGAGCCATGAAGTTCCTTCGTGCCGCGTATGCACCTTCCTCGGTTCTCTCCGGAACCATCAAAGCATTAACGTCGGCGCCTCCCTCCTGGATAAAACGTGTCGCAACGGTCCTCGTAGAGCACCCCGGAAACGTGATTAGCCAGTGCAAGGGGGTCAGCTTGTCTCTTCGGGTCGTGATGGAGGAAGCTGCACCCTTGTCTAAAAGATAGTAGACCGTGTTTGTCTGCCCAGCTTGACAGGCCTTGTAGAGCGGTGTTTCGCCATTGTCGTTCGGCACGTCAACTGGCATCTTGGCATTTTCAACTAGCCATTGAACAACGTCGATAGATCCCAGTGCTGCTGCAACATGCAATAGCGTATTGCCATTGATATCAACGACCCTCTTGTTCGCTGTAAGCCACTCCTCTGCTCGTTTTCTATCTCGAGCAACAGCTAAGATGGCAGGTTTACGGGTGAAGGAATCTGTACAAAAGCCACCTGCATCTCGAAACGCTTGCTTTGCAGTCTGCAGCTGCTCCTCTGTGACCCTCGACGAGGGTGACGCAAAGAGATATCCTTCAGCCACGGCTTGAAGCAACCATTTATCTAGTGTCTGTTCATCGAAAGCCGGTGTCTGGCCATGGGCATGCATGAGCTGCCCGTACACTGCTCGGGCCGGCGAATAGCCACTTCGGGCCGCCTCGGTGATGTAGGTAAGCAGGCGATCAAGGTACGACGGCTTCGCTCCGGTGATGCACTGGGCCATACCCAGCAGAACGTCACCGGCATGTCGCAAAGACAGGTCGTTCTGGGATTCAGAAAACTGCTGCTCCAGCTCTGCAAGGAGGGAGGGATCCAATCGGTACCAAAATCTGGGGCCTTGGTTGTGCGCCGGGTCGATGATGCCGACATTAGCAGCGACCCTCCGAGTGTCCTGTGCCACGGCAAGCCTTGGGGTGCGTCAGTCAACAGCCTCCAATATATGTCAGATAGTGAAGGGTATCTAAAGTTACCAGGATGAAAATGCAGGTGTATCCAGCTTCAGCAGTTCAGGACTTGCCAGACTGCGTTTCCAAGGATCCGTTGCCAGCAGCTGTCGGAGAGCTTTGCCTATTTGCATACGAAGTGGACCAGTCATGGTCGCATCTTCTCTCAGCATGAAAAGTGCAACCTCGACTGGCTCTTCTCCAGACATCTTCAATTTGACTGGCTCACCACGATTGATGAAGGTGGATAGAATGAGCAATCCCAAGCTGTAGGAATCGAAGCGGAACATAACTTCTGGGTTGAAAGCGTCGCCCTGCCACCTGGCGTAATCGCTAGCTTCAGGCGCCCGCCAGTCCTCGGTTCCATAGTAACTATCAATAGTGAGCTTGTCTTCAGGGGACTCTAAATCGACGCAGACCCCAAAGTCGCTGATCTTGGCGCACAGCGGGACTTTCTCATTCCCTGCAGAATCTTTGTAGATCAAGATGTTGTCTGGTTTGACGTCTCCATGAACGATATGCAGCCGGTGTAGCGCCTCGAGACCTGAGACTACATCTAGCAATAGTTGATGCCTAACATCCTGGGGTTGCGACCCAAGTAACCTCTCGTTGTCAATCTTGAGAAGGTCGGTAAGCGTCATCAGCGCCTCCTCCACGAACAATACTGGCACTGGAGTATCGGGATAAGGGTAATCGTATCCCCAGGCGACGAGTTTGGCAATGTTGCGGTGGTTTCGTAGGTAGGGGTTCGATAAAGCGAGTACTTCCAGCTCCAAAGACCGTAGTCGTTGACGATAGTCCGAGCCGGAGGCAAAGCTGGAGTTTCCTTCACGGGATAGAAACACTTTGACACGTTTGATCACCAAGCCTTCGTTGCCAAAGAACCGGCCGGGGATCTCCTTGTATACTGTAAACTGTCCGCCACTGCCAATCTTGACTGCGCGGCGCTTGAGATTGTAGGTTTGCAGATGACGAGGTCCATGGATACCGGTTCGCGACAGGATGCTGGTAAAGTCGGACACCGAGGTCATCAGAGCATCCTCCCCATTCCGCACTGCTGTGACTCTTTCCTCTAGGAGATCGGTGGATGATAAACTGTTTCCATCATGGGATTCTTCGCCGTCAACCAAGCTGAGCGGGTCGAGATCTGGGGGCTCGGATGTGTTGTCGAGGAGGTCGTCGGGAGAAATACTGGCTCCGCTATCATCGAAATCCAGATCGAACGGGTCCGTTTCATTAATGCCATCTTCGTCGAGGGTATCGAGAGCCTCCTGCAGTAGTGCAGCGCCATCATCGTCGAGTAATTCCATGGCATGAAATGAAAAGATGGTTGAGTCAAAAGACGAGTCCTCTTCCGTTTCCAGGATGAAGTGTTGATGAGAGCGGGATGAACTTCCCTTCCTTGCCGTGTGCATCGCACTCGTCACTCGCACTACCGCTAGCGCTGACGCTATCCCCACTCATACGAGGCAGTGGCTGTGGCAAAGTGAAGTTATTCGCTGCGAGGTCACGAGCTATAGTCTAGATATTATCCTTTTTTCATTTTAATTGCTGGATCGGGTTCAACTTGTTTGATTTACTGCTTTGTGGTACTGTTGATTCAACTTGTATCGTGATGTTTTTCTTCTCTTCTGTTGTCCAGCCACTTTACCTTTCCTTTCCCTAAAATTTAAGCATAGTAGCGGATGCGTGTAGATACCTGGCGTAAGTGTTCCCGCTAACCATCCGAATCATTCTTCACATGGGCGCACACTCTCCCTTGAACCCGCAAAGGGACAACGTCAGCTGGTTTGATCCATCCTCCCCGTTCGTATCTCCACAGTAATAGATAGACCCCTGTCCGAGCCTTGCCTCTACCACAGCAGCTTGAGTCCGATCCACAAAAGTTGGAGCCCAAACTAGACTTTGCCTTATCGCACCCTCAGTCGGAATATAGAGCTTGTCCTCGGATGGAGCGTACTTGACATGAAGCACCTTCATGCTATACGGCTTAGGCAATGAAAATGGCTCAACGTTGTCAGGCAAGAGACCGGAGGGATTGAGTTGGAATGTTGTGCGATGACAATCGCCATAACTCCAGGGAAGATCAAAACCCCGAAGAATTCCCTGAATTGACCTTTGCGCGCTTGACGGTGGCCACTTACAGGAGCCTGCTTAAGAGTCTGGAATAGGTGCCATCGAGGAAGTCTTGATATGCGAGAGAGAGAAGAAGGATTTCGGGGTTTTCGATTCAGGCCATAGTGGTGATATTGGCGATTGAAAAAGATGTGGAGAATTGATCGCGGTGATTGACTTGTTTTGCGCACTTAGATCAACACAAATGAAGGACAGCCGCCGGGAAAGCGGGGAGTAACGGCAAAAGAGAGAG